TGTTCTACAAACATAATAAAAGAAGGCAGCCCAGAACATTAGAGCAAAGTTTACTTCTGAAACGTGATAACTGTGCGTTGTTTGAGTGACCGATTAAAATTTAAAAATATACAAAACAACAGAAAACTCATTTTTGACCCTGCAGTTGTTCCCGAAAAAATCGCAACAGCTGCCTTTCTAGCCTTGACATCGGCGGTGATAAAAAATGATTTATTAATAAATGGGACACAATTTATCATGGGAAATTATATGTTTGGCTGACTCAAATTATTAGGCCTGTTCGCACAGCAATCACAAACCAGTCAGAGCGAATTTCATTGGTTGAAAACAATCAGAAACAGTCAGAAAACTAGTTTCAACCAATAAGATTCACTCTGACTGGTTTGTGATTTCTCTGCGAACAGACCTATTGACAAGCACAACGAACCATCTGAAAAGTTTAATAAATAGTTATTTATGATATAAGTGCTAAAAGTGACATTTTATTTTGTGAAAAGGGAAGTTTGGGACACGACGCCGAAGGCGGAGTGTTCCATCCCTTTGAACAAAATAAAATCACTTTTAGCACTAATATTATACAGTATTTTTTCTACAAATGCACTAAAAGTGGTTACTTTTAGCACTAGTGCTAAAAGTAATCACTTTTAACACCAGTGTCATAAAATGGCATTTTAGACACTGACAGCATCTGTTAAAAATGACACTTTTAGTGACGTTTGTAGAAAAAAACTATTAATCGTTTCCTGTCATGAATTATTGAAAATTATAGGGATATTCAAGATTTTGTTTGATTAAAATATAATTGTGAATAAGATAAGATAAAATTATATCAGCCGATATGGTATCTTTTGAAACTATGTAACACAATTAAATTGGATTGGTCAACGTAACCCAATTCTTCTAGATGCCTTCATCGTCATCCACTTCTTACCCTTATTTTCAAAAATTTCCAAAATTCCAAAGGTTATATTGGTATTTATTTATTCATCCATCATTATTATTAAACATTCTTTCTAGTCCACTGCTGAACATAGGCTTCCTCTAAGGTTTTCCATGTCTTTGATGGGCTGCATTAGGAGTGTACTATGTTTTCGGCTCAAGGTTTTTGTGCACTAAGAAAATCATTACGGCCCCTTCACTGATCCTGATCTTGAAAACCATCATGGGTCAGCGCACAGGCGATTAAAGCATTTTTTTTACTGTTGATGTTGGGCCAGATTTTCTGATCTCTTCCTCCTTTCTTTGATTTACTTATTCAAAAGATTTTTTTTTAAAGTTAGGTAATTCGATTTCATTTGATTCAATTCATAAAGGTTGTACTTTATCTATTTGAAGTTCATCCTAGAAAATCTATAATTCATTCATCGTAGAATCAGACCCAACAAAAGCTCATTTTCATTCCTTGTTTTATTATTTAATCAGTTTTCTTTTACGTCTCATCAACTTTCTTTATTGTAGGATTTTTTCATTGTATTTTTCATTAAAATTGAGATTTCACTTTACTGATTCGCTTATTGAGGCAAGGATAGCAACCTAAGAATATTAGGTAATTTTTTTTGTTTCCTACGTAACATCTTTATTGTGCTTAGGAATGTAACTTTCCCTTTTGAGAAACTTTTTAGATTAATCCTCAGATTATGTATTTTTCACTATCATATCACAACTTCATTGAGCATAAAATCGAACTTGCCTAAAACTCAATTACTTTTATGAATTGATTTGCATTGTTATTACTATTATCATTTTGTTTGATTTCTATTTCTTTTTTTGATTAGTTGAGGCTTGCGCCCAAACAAAATAACATCTAAATTGAAAATTCCTGCCGACTGCCTTCTAAACTTTGTATTCTGAGCAACTAGAATTATAAAAATACATTATTTCACTTTGTTACTGAACAAATTATGGAATTTCCCAAAGGCGTCACATTACAATTGTACTCGCATTCGGATTTCGGTTACCCCTTTCCAGTTTGATCTCGTTCCTTATTCCCGATATCCTGATTTAGGCATTTGACACAAGGTTGGTTTGAACTTGGTCTGCGACATATTATATTTTTATATTTTCTCAAACTTGGGCAGTGCTGGTGTTATGCAAGCATGTATACATGTGGAATTATTGGGATGTAGTCACAGATTTTCGTCAATTTTTTAGGCTTCTACTATCTCCGCTCGCTTTCTCCATCTGCTTAATTTGTGCTGGTTTTATGTCTGAGATATTTTTAGAACCGGTTGAGAGTCATTCCCTACTTCTCTACTCCTGTCTGACTCTTTGAATAGGTTATTCTATTGTTATGGTAAGAGGTTGCTTTCCATTTTTAATGTCTTTTCTATCTTGCGTTTTTCAATTTCCTTTTTTCCCCATTGGATGTTTATTTTCAAGAATTTTTCGTTTTGTGATATCGTCTCTTTGATATTTGTTACGTGTTTTAATATCTTCCCTAGTGTGGTACTTTTGATATCTTCTGTATATAGTTTTTGTTACCAGTATTAACTATCATCATATTGTATTTGTCTGTCATTAGTTTTTCATCATTGTAAATGTCGTGTATTCTTGTTTATTAAAGTCTAATTTCTAAAGGTAATTCAGTGAATCATTACAAATTAATAAACAAGATGGATAAACTCTTAAGACCTGAAGATTCGACCCTGATCAAAACTCTCCAGAAGCTGCACAAGAGTGGACTTACTAGAAAGCAACTTCCAACAATTTCTTTATCATCCGTTTATCAGCTAGAAAATGATCGAAAACTGAAACTCTTGGTGAACTTTGTAAGCTACAACAATTGAGCACATATCCTGCTCTGCTGTTCTTCTTACTCAGAAGCTATTAAGATTTTGAATTCAATTTTCATTAAACCTAAAAATGAAATATTTGCCAGACACTGCCTTACCTCTAGGAAGCAGCAACCTGTTGATTAGTACTTACAAGCACTAAAACATCTAAGTAAAGACTGTAACTTCAAAGCTGTCAGCGCTGGAAAAAGTCAAAACAACTATATTAGAGATTCTTTCATTAGTGGCTTAAGCTCTTCCCAAATTCGACGATTGTTGGAGAATGCTTTGAAAACTTGATGAAGCCAAGAATCAAGTTCCATCTCTAGAATCGGCACAAAAACATTCAGAAGAATATAGCATTTCCCAAGGTGTGATTAACTCAATTCAATCTGAAAGTAAAAAAACACATGAAGAAGACTTCATTTCCGCTGCTACGAAAGTGTACAAATGTTATTTCTGTGGAAGTAAACGTAAAAAAAGATTCAACATGTACTGAAGGCGGTAAACGTGGACATTTCTCCAAGGTATGTCTAAGCAAAAGAAAAGTCAAAGCTTCTGTCTCAATTATACCTGCTTCTGGTCTTCTTTGTGTGGCACCTGGAAGTTTAACCAAATGCCTTATCAAAATTAAATTAAACAATGTCGTTGCTGATGCTTTAGTAGATAGAGGGAGTTCTGAAATATACATTAATAAAACTTTTGCCTCATTTATCGATACACCTATATTCAAGCACTATATTGTATACTAATAGCCACAACATCCTTACAGTCTCAAATATCACCAGGTCATTGCTTTGTAGACTTAGAAATGATGGAGCATACATACAGAAAATTACGTTTATCAGTTCTTGCTGATTTATGTGCTGATGTCGTTATAGGTCATGATATTCTTGGACAGCATTCAACCCTTGAAGTATCTTTTGGAGCCTCCGTGCCTCCCTTGTATATTGACAACTCATCATCGATTTATAGTTTGGTGTTCCTAAAAATTGATCCGCGTACATTATTTTCAAATCTATCAGCAGACCGCAAACCAATTGCTGTGGCGAAACTCAAGATTTCCAGTACTATAGATTTACAAAGTGCGTATCACCCAGTTTCCATACGTGAGGATGAAAAGCTGCTTTTGAGGCAAATGGTCAATTATATCAGTTCCGAAGAATTCCTTTTGGTGTGACAAACGGAATTGCGTGTTTTCTGCGAGTAATAGACTACATAATAAAATCAGAGAATCTTGAAGGTGTCTATATGCATATTTAGATGATATTACGATATGTGGTAGAAATCAAGAAGTCCATGATGAAAATTTAAAAGAATTTCTACTCGTTGTGAGAAAATACAACTTTGCTCGAAGTAAAGTTTGTTTCTACTCTTCTTAATTAACTTTCTAATCTCTAGACAGTAATATACTATTTATGTTTTGTCAATGTTAGCAATTAGGTAGTCTATATCGGAACTGTTACATGAATAACTATCAGGGGTAAAGTACAGCAAACCATAAGTTAAACAATACTTTTAACACATGTATTTTTAGACTAATATGATAGATGTATCTCATAAAAATATCGATTAGGTATATTTTTTGTAGAAAATTTGGTTTCAATCATTTGAATAATAAGTGTGGGAAAATAATTGAACAAAACTATAGTTATTCAGTTCTGCTATATTTTCCTATCAACAAAAGAGTACCTATCAACACAGTTCCATGACAAAAAAGTAAAAAAAAGTGCTTGAAATTAAAATACTTATAAATAACAATAACTAATACCTATATAAAGCACAAGTTGCGTCACTTTTTCGACTATGAAAACTGCTAAAGCTTGGTCTACACCTAATTTTTTTGAACTTGGTTAGTCGACATTGTTCTTTAACACCAATTATTATTTATTTTTAACTGATAGGACTATCTAATTTTATAAATATCACATCATTAAGGTGCAGGAATATAATATAATAACCTATGGAAAGAAAAAATGGAATCTCAAAAATTTTGTTGTCGACCTCGAAGAAGATCTTGCCAAAAGCCACCAAAAGCCAATTAAACTAGACTACCCACAAACTAATTATTTCCTATAATTTATCATCTTTAATTGGGATGACATATCCTTCGGCTATTTTTCAAAGTATTTAATTAGTTCTGGCTAACAATGATGATGTTTATGCTCATTAGCATATTATATTATTATTTCCTTGTAATTAAAATAGTTGTTTTTTTTCAAATATTACCTATTGATCCTATGGCATGTCCGTTGGCAGGATGCATTCCTCCGTGAGGTCCTCCAGGTCCTCCATGACCGTGGTAGTTATTGTTGTCCGGAGATGGGGGATGCGGCGATGTTAGTTCTCCAGGCCCCCCGTACGGATGGTAGTGCGGATTCATTGAGGCTAGTGCGCTGGCTGCCAGTTTGGATAATGGCGCTGACTAGCGCTGACAACTGTTAAGGAAAATATGATGGAGGGACACTGAAGCTGGATTGTTGTCGATGGGTTTCTGGAACAAAATAGTAATCTTGTTAAGACAAATTTCAAGACAAACAATATTTTGTATTTTTTAAGTTTATCAGCTGACATATCAATAATTCTGCGACTGGTTGATATTGAGATAATAAATAAAGAAAATACAATTGTGATTTTTGTTATACATGGTGGTTCATCGAAATTGTTCACATGACCTCCATTTTCATTTGAAAGCTGCTCTGGTTGACATCTGGGACAATCTGCCCCAAGAGATGATTGATGATGTGGTCAGTTTAAGTTGGCTAAATAACATTCCACCAAATGGAAATTATGAAAGGAACTTTCTGATCCCTCTGTATATCTGTGAGCATTTTTTTGACAATAAATTGATCGGTAAGAGGTAAAACTGCGAGCAATATTTAATTTGAAGTAAACATTCACACACACGACTTAAAGTTGGAAAACGACACTTTTTCATATGCAATTCGTATGTCGACGTGCAGAAATTATGGTCAATATCCACCTTTTCTTCGGAACTCTGTATTTTCAATAATATTGAAAATATCAGAGTGAATAAAAAATGAAAATGTTCGGAACAGATCATGCTACAGTTTGGTGTTCTGAATTTCCAGTGGTTCACTCCACAGGGTGACTCAAAAAACTCTGAAAATTACTGACTTTCTCTCCATCCCTTAGATTATATAAAGACGAATCATTTAATAACGGTAATACGTATTCCTGAAGAATCAAGCTATAATCTGTGGAAAATTCATCGAAATCGAGCGGAGGTTCCAGAGAAAATTGATGTCAAACTTAGTGTAAATGTGTCCGTTCCCTTATTTTGCCAGTGTATGCATAAATCCTGAACTTATTTTGGAAAATTGCAAAACTTGGTTATACCAATTATTGAGAATCATATGAAAATACTTGGTGATTATAGCAAATGATTTCCGAAAATGGAAGGCGATGTACAATATTACGATTGGACCCCTCGTTTTAGGTGATTTACAATGTTTCTCACCTACTGACGTTGTGACCTACAAACATTGTATGTCATGTAGATGTTCTTCAGTTAATCAACGGTCTCTAAGCCCGTTTCAAGCGAATCAAGAAATTCATTCATCTACCTCCTCAAGAGGATTTCAAAAACCCTATTTTGGCCTTTATTAATTTCTATCATATTTATCTTGTCAACTAAGTAATGTATACTTATAACTAAGCAATTAGGTTGATACTAAACAACACTCTTCTATAAAATAATTTGTGTTGTTAATGGCCAAAATATTCTAAATTATAATTAAACGATGAATTAATCTTCATTAAAACTGAATTAAAGGAGGAGGGATTTGAACGTGGCCCCAGCTGCCCTCCGGACGTTATTATGACGTCATTATCGATATTTAATTATTACAAGTCATGCTAAGTAATTATTAAAGTACAAAAAAAGTGTGTATGTGTGTGGTTAAATCCGAAAAAGATAAACGTCAATTAGGTGGACTTGAGGCATAGAAAAAGATACGATTATTGTTTCCCAAGCAGCGCATTTTATATCATTATTACGTTTGTAGAGGTACGGGTACAAATATCCATCATAATTATCAAATTAAAAAATTCTCCCTTACTTTTCCTGTGGCGGCCACATATCTCAGGTTTAACTCAATAATACCAGCATATCCTGATCGTGGCCAGCAGATATTTTCTCTCAGGGGCCCGACCGGCAGAGCGATAATTGCCCTGGAATTTCTTAGTTTTGCTGTCTGTCTGTCCGTGATTTACATCTCTTGGAGGCTAATAATAGAGTTAGCGATGAGAGAAAAGGCTGTTGGTGGGTAATAATTTCCCTGTTTTATTTTTCACTTGCGAGAGCGAGGGTGGATTTTTTCATCGTTTTTGCTTTTGTGGATTCTGAAAGGTTGAGTTTTTGTGGATAATTTGGAAATAGGAGCAATGGGTACGTTTTCATAACTCTTGGAGTAACCAAAGGCAAAAAATAGGTGTGAATCTGGAAGGTAGGTACGTCGCCCATGAAAAAAAATCATGTACACGAGGGGATAACAACTGGTGGCTATACATGTACAAATTGCATTGCATTACGTGCACATTACGAAACATTACTGGCATTACTGCGGATTACCGACATTACGGTGGCATTATCTGGCACCATGAGACATTACTCGATATAACCGAAATTATGCTGACATTACCAGGCATTACATACGAATATCGCAGAATTACGCTAGCATTCAATAGAGTTACAGTTGATTTTTAACCCTCGAATTTTCCAAATATTCACTGGGAGATCATATTCATATTACCAACACCAACTCCAATATTGAAAATATCTTTAGGTAAGTTTGTGTATCTATGAAATGAAAATAATTTCACATATACAGGATAAAGCAAATAAAAATTACCGTAAAACATGTATTTGTTTTAAATGAGACACACTATATATCATAGGTTTGTTCTCACAGAAACCACAAACCAGTCAGACTGAATTTCATTGGTAGAAAATAGTCAGAAAACTTGTGTGTTGTTAGCGATTTGCACAGAGAAAACAACTGAAGATAGGAGAAAACGAGTTTCACTTTCCTGTCCTTGCTTGACTACTTGAGAGCTACTCAAAGGTTGTTATAATGGTGGTACCAAATTTGGTATCCATACTACCATCATCCAGACCACCATGGGTACCACCATTATCAAATTGCTATTGTGCAATCCAAAAATAACATAATCAGTCATATGAATAAAGTATAGCAAAAATGTTTTTACTCTACCTCCATCTCTTTCTGATGCATTGAAGCTGAATATGTTTATCTCAAAAAACTTAAGTAGAAGCATTTGCTCCTGTTTTATTCATATAAGCCAATATACAAGGGTGTCCTATTTAAAACAAATACCTCGATATTCTACTGCAACTTTTTTCTGGCTCACCCTGTGTATGTGAAATCAATTATATTTTATAGATTCTTGTCAACCCTACAACTTTGCTATGCATGTAATGAATTAGAATGTCCAAATATGACTACATAATTCAATTTTTGAAAAATTTCATATGGTCGTACGACAATGACGTACCTACTATAATATGTAGGTCAAGGCCTACATTTTTTATGAATCAATTAAAATCATTGGATCAGAACCATTTCAACTGTTGAGCTAGGATAAATCCAGAGATAAAATAATAACCTATAATAGTTAATAAACTAATAAAATTCTAACCATTGGAAAACTCTACTAATATGTTAAGAAGGCAGGGATTAAGAAGTTAAAACCGAGGTTAACACTAAAACGGTTTTTGTAAAATAAATTGCGACATAAATTGGCATTTTATTCAGATTTGGGGTCGGTTTATTCGCTTTCTGATAAACTGTCAGGTATGCAATCTGACATATAAAAACGCAATCTGAAATCTCATTGGTCGGCCAGTCATCTATCGACCAATAGAATTATGGAACGATAAATTTATCTTGCAGAGTTACCAGAAAGTTAATATGAAGGTGAATAAACCGGGCCTTAGAAAAATAAGTACGCACCATCGTTACCAAAAGTAACTGGGACAAAAATAATTAATCTTAACCTCCTGGACTATTCCAAGTTAACCTAGATAAACCTAAAATTATTCATAGACCTGACATCTAAAATCATCTACCAGAGCTAATATGATGCTGTCCCAGTTACTTTTGGTGACGATGGTACCGATAGAATAATGATAAATGTAGGTACAAACTGTAGAATCTGATGTTTTTTTTTTCAACTATAATGGTTTCTTTTCTGGTCCAGTAATGTATAACTCGAGGTAAAACTATTGCATTTAGCCTAATATAGGAATACATTACTACAATGGTATTACATGAAATTACTGCCATCACGATGGCAGTACAATGGTATTACATTGAAGTTACCGGAATTACTTCAAAAAAGCATGTAATGCTCAATACATGTACAAATTTTAGTCCAGTTGTAACCCCCTCCGCCGTACACTCTTACACGTGATAGAAGTAAAGCCCCCCTCATACAACTTTAAAGACTTAGCGTATAAGTCGGGGTACAGACGAAGGATCACACAAAAGAGAAACGCGCATCTGTAGTGACGTCACAAGAGTATGGGCGCTTGACAATACTAGGCAATTCTCTTTGCGCTTATAATCCTTGATTTGTGGCAATCAATGGCTGTTTTTCTCCTTGTCAAATATCATTTTTGACAATACATATTTCAATAACTTTGATATAAGTACTTACATTTTACATAATGATGGTCCACGGATATAATCAAAAAAAATCACGGCACACAAATTTATAAATAACGAAAATAATAGTACAACAAAAGGAAGACGCGCATCTGTAGTGACGTTACAAGGGTATAGGCGCTTGTCAATAATAGGCAATCCTCTTCGCGCTTATAACTCTTGATTTGTGTCAATCAATAGCTGTATTTCTACGTATCTTTACGTAATATCTTTCTTCTTTCTCGAGTAACGAAATTTGCCCAAGACACGGTTTTCAAATCACTCTCCATTGTCGTCCAAATATCAGATGGCCGCCTAAAAAGTTTCACTCCAAAATAAACCCAAATTTTATCAACCCAAATTAGTAACTCTAGTCATTTTAGAGTAACTCTAATCAATTGTAGTGCGATTCGATAAGATGTAAAATTTGAAAAAACGTATCAGTATTTGGTTCTCCTAAAACACAGTGTGACAAGTGAGATTCGGTCAATTCAAATATCGTTTCTAGCCTAGGATTTCCAAATTTTCCTCAATTAGGTATTTTGATTTAAGACTTAAGCCACCCTAATGATGTTTCAGTTACGAAAACTACAATGGAGCTTTATTGAAATGATCGGTAACTCTCATCACTGACGCGTTACCTGAAATAATACCGAAGAGAAAATGTATTAAAGAATCTTTACTTCCAAGTTCTGATCTGAGCAAATAAAAATCTGTTCCAATGCTGAGTACAACATGTATTCTTTTCTTACAGAAGATGGTCGTTTTTTCCCGTTTTCTGAAGTTGTCTGTTTAGCAATCTGCT